AGGCACGGTGGCAGGATTGGCGGAAGGTCATTAGATAATCCATCCTTTCCACATACACCCTGTCCTCCTCCTCCGCCTCCTCCTCCGCCTCCTCCCCCTCCCCGCCTCATCGACTTCCTTCTCCTCCTCCACTCCCCCTTTGACAATCGAATTGTCGTTTTCGGCCACCGAATGTCTCCCAAATGTCGCATAAACTTCAGCATTGTGCAATATGTGTGGCGCAATCTGCGTGATTCGATCTGCGTGGTGCAAAATACGTGTGTCGTGCCATGCCTTGCTTGACTTGCCGCGCTGCAGCCTTGCTGCATAGCTTCCTCAAGCGCGATGACGACAGATATGCGCGGCAGCGCAGCTGGATACGAAGTTGTCCGGACGGAACAGCTGGCCAAATGGTCCTGCACGGACGCTATCCATGGTGCCTGGCTCCAAATCCATAAGCACGGCGCGCGGAACATAACGCCCCCCCGTGGCCTCATTGTAATAGACATTGATGCGCTCGAGCTGGAGGTCGGAATCTCCATGATATGTGCCTGTAGGATCTATACCATGCTCATCAGAAATTACTTCCCAGAACTTTGCTCCGATCTGGTTCGGGCGTTGCTAGAAGTGCCCCTGGCCCAAGGTGCCCCCAGGGTTTTCAGGGAGACCTCCACGACCTCCCGAGCACTCATGAGGCCCAAAGGACCCCACGGGCTCCAAAATGGAGCGGAAAACTGGGGAGTCCTTGGGTCAGGGGCACCTCTAGCAACCCCCGACTGGTTGCCGCACTGGCCACCCTGGATGTGCACCAACTCGCGCATGGCTGCTTATCGGAGGAAGCTGACTTCTGATTGTTCGGATGACTTCAGGCGTAGAACACTCGCTCTGGCCGAAATGATTACACACACATTCTTGGTAATAAGAATGAACATGGATTCAAAAAATGGTGCAAACGCGTGGGATAAAACGTTGAACATGCGCAGCCCACAGACAAAAATACGGGGTGCGGCCGACGCAATGCAATTCAGTCGGTAGATCTGAGGTCGCCAGCTCCAATGATCGAGCAAACATCCCCCCACCCACCAGCAACGTGTTGGTAGAACTCCAGAGAACGCGGGCGATGCTACCCATTGGGACTGGCTCACAAATCTCAGCAGGCGCAATAACATCCGGACCCTGCTCATGAGGACCCGTGGCTCGGGCGGGCGACGGCGCATGGTGACGACGACACCGGCGACGAAGATGATGCTGATGATGATGGTGGTGGCGAGGAAGACGAAAGCGACGACAACGACAAGGACGAAGACGATGACGATGATGAGGACTTCGCTGTGATGGTGATGATGACAACTGACGTGGCCCAGCTCTTGACGATGATGCGAAAGAGTGTGATGATTCATATGTTGAGGGCGTGCGGGCGGACCGAGTTTGAATTCATAGCATACTTGTATGTAGTCCGCGCAATGTTCATATATGTTGCGGAACTAATGTTGTCTCAAGCCCCTACCAAAGACCCAACCAAGAAACGCGCTCTAAACGAGGAGAGGGCAGGGAGGAGTTGATCGCTCTCGCCCGTTCAACCCATGCGCGAAACCCCGTTCAAACTGCTAGGGCCTGGGGCGGGGGGGGCAGATCACAGGTGAATTTAAATTCTTTGTTTATGCATATCGCTTCTACGAGCGAAAATCGCGCGGGCAGGTGGCAGTCGGTTTGTTGCCGCGCGCCCCGCGTGGATGCAGAGGGGGCGCAGGGCAACCGAACCCGCACGCGTTTATGGGGTGGTACTCGGGGCTGTGACCCTTCCAGCGCTGGTCGACAGAAAGCTTGGCGATGACCTTCAAAACGCCACAGGTGCTCACCAGTGCCTCATCCACTGTTCCTCCCCGGGCCGCGCCATGGCACGAGAATCCAACTCCTGGCAGAAAAAATGTCTCTGATGCCCTGGGAAGCAATCCCCAGGATGACTTCGCGGAGGCGATGAGGGCAAAGGAGGCCAGAGCAGAAGGTGACCATGCTGGACTAAGCCGGATTGCGATAGACCGGGCTGCGTTGGAGTCTAAGGAATACCCGGGGCGTTGAACTCAACTTCCCAAGAACGACAGGCGACGATGCCTCCCCGTAGCCTTTTTTCCACGCGTCGCCCCAAGTCGCAGACCGATCTAACTGAAACGACGGCACGGCCAGTTCGGGCCACAGCTTGCGCGCCAGAGTGACGAAGGTGCAGGCGCTTGGAAAGTCTGGTGCCGTAGAAGGTCCGCCGAATCCCGCTTGCCAGGGGTCAAGAGGCGCGTGAAACATTCGGCTGTCCCCCTCCCCCTGGGGTTCCAGATTCCGTTCCAACGAGGCCTCCAAGAAGACCCACAAGACCCACAACTGCTCAAGAGGCCCCAATGATCGCTGCGAGGGGGACGACGCCCCCAATAGAGCCCCAAGACGACCGAAGAGGACCCCAACACGGCCCAGAAGTGCCAAAGGTGGCACCCGAGGGCATAAACAGGTCCCCGAAAGGGGCCCAAGAAAAGTATTTCGAGCTGACATTCCGAGCCTTCCGCCCCCAGAGGACCCCCGAGAATGCCTGCAGGCATCCAAGAAACACCAGACAGGCCCGAAGAAGCGCCCAAAAAGCCCAAAAGAGGCCCCCATTTGTTCCCCAACAAGCAAAACGCCTCACCCGCGGACCTCTTCCCTCTTCTGGGGGTCGGCGGAATATCGTAAGCCTCTTGAGCATGTCCGTTATGAACTCCCCCCGCAGCAGGATGCGTAAGCCTAGCTACAGCTCCCTTCGGAGTTGCCAGACTTCGTGCAAACCCCCAAGCGGAGTGGCCCACTTGGCGCCAACCTCAGCAAAGAATCCAGCGCGCCAGCTCATCACAGTGTTCTTGGTCAGAAGATGTCTTGATATCCAAGAAATGTTAACCACCGCACAACGTACGGCTAGGCCGTATACGTTCGTGGACAAAGGCGCTCGCCCGAGGCAACGTACGGTTACAGCACGCTCCTCAGATATGATCGGCAGAGACCATCTTCATTCAACATCCGATTTCCAAAGTGTACGCGACATCGCGTCTCATTTCGATTACATGTTCCTTCCGTGGGAACGAACCTCTTCCTGTACTCGTAGATACTCCACCACTGCCATTTGCGAAAGAAGTGGTGGTACACCCACCATCCACCCCCAGCGTAATACTGTTCATGAATATCCCAATTACCATCGTCCGCGGCCATCACCGCCCGTGCCCGTCAGTCCGGACCAGACACCCGCCCCTGAGACGGTCCTGTCGGGATGCGCAAACCTGGCGCGGCTCGCCTGGATGGAAGGGCGCTTGAAGACAACCCAGCCCGACCGGCCTCGGCGCAGCCCCACACGAAGGATACCAAAGTTTTTCCTTGTGGAGCGCTGGACGATTGGGATGTTCCAAATTACATTAGCGTGGACCACCAGAAAGAATGCCGGGCACCAAGAAACTACCGAAGCTGAAGGGTTTTCACGTGTCGGACCCTGGGAGGCGATGCTCGTTCCACACTTCGCCAGCGTGTCGGGCAAGCACTGACCCGGTATTCGAAACTATTTTGGGGGACGTGGGCCTTAAGAACGACGAGAAGAACATGCAGAAGGCCTGGAGACGGCTAGAGGAAGAGTGACTACCTACCAGACCACCCCAACCCAACCCGAAGACCCGAATTTGACCCGAATTTCGGGTTGGGGGGGGTACGGATTCCATGTGCTTTCTCAACGTTCCGCGACCCCCCCCCACTGGAAATCGAGGATAAATTGAAGCCTTCGGGTTGGGTTGGGGTTGTTTGGTGGGCGGTGACAGAGGGAAGGGCCGCAGGAGTCGGACGCGAAGGGCACGAAGGGGCGAGCGCTCGACGGCGTCTCTCCCTGACTCCCCCGCCCTGTCTCGCTTGTTGTCCGTGATCCGACTAGCCACTCGTCGATCGGAGGTGGGCCAGGGCAGGAAGAGGGGGGAGGGAGGGAGGAGAGAGAGAAGTGAGGGGGGGGGGAGGGAGAGCGAGGGGGTGAGAGGGAGGGGGGGAAGGAGGGAGATGAGGAGCGAGGGAGGGAGGGAGGGCGGGTGGGGGAGGATGAAGAGGAGGGGGAGGGGGAGGAGAAGAAGGGGAGTGAGGGAGAAGGAAGACGGGGAGGAGAGGGAGGAGAGGGAGGGGAGAAGTGGAAGGAGATGGGACCTTGCTCACCATGGCTTCCGCGCTGGACCCCCCGGGCTGTCGGCATCCCGAAGGCACCCCGCTGGAATCTGGGGGCCAAAAGGACTTCGCCACTGAGGGCGAACTCACATCCCACCGCCACTCGAAAATATCTGCAGGTTCCTCTTCCTCCTCCTCCTCCTCCTCCTCCTCCTCCTCCTCCTCCTCCTCCCCCTCCTCCCCCTCCTCCCCCTCCTCCATATCCTCCATTTCTTGTTCTACGTATGATTATACTCTTCCTATCCTTACAATCAGTACTACCATTTTCATTGTCCTCCTCCTCAGTATCATCATCCTCCCCTGAACCTCTTCCTCCATATCGTCATCCTACTCCTCCAACTCCTCCTGATGATCAGATGTAGAAAAATCCTCCTCCTCCTCCTCCTCCTCCTCCTCCTCGGGTCCTACCCATCATCATCACCACCACAATCAGAAACATTCGCACCATCAGCATCATCATCATCAGCATCATCATCATCATCAACACCACCATCACCACCACCATCATCATCATCATCATCATCATCATCAGCATCATCATCATCATCATCATCATCATCATCATCATCATCATCATCCTCATCATCTTTATCATCATCAGCAGCAGCAGCAGCATCATCAGCATCATCATCCGCATCATCAGCATCATCCACCTCCACCTCCTCCACCCTGTGGCATACCAGCAGGCGCTGAAGGAGGGCAGCGCAAAGCACGCAGCAGCTAGCGCAGGGACAGCGGGTTCAGCACCGCTGGGGTGGCCCATCTGCTCGTCGGAGCCGAACTCGACGAACGTCCGATGCTCGGGAATGTCGTACCTCGGTCGAGGACTGGCAATCGAGGATCCGTCTCCTGGACGTCATAACCTTCTTGTTCAGGGCTTCTGGAGGCCACCTTGGACCTCAGGGGCTCCCCAGAGCCCTGTGGGGACCTCCGGGAGGTCCGATGACAGTGTTTCTGTTAAGACTATGGCAAAGGCACTCACACGGCATGTGTCCCCCCGCCCCCGTTCTCTCGCTCAGCACTGGGCAGAGCTCCGGCGTTCCTCAAGGAACTCGCCTGGGAGACCCGCCCCTCCGCGCAAGCAAACATGCCAGAATCTCAGCAGGATATTTGGGGGGGGGAAGTGGGAGCGGACAGCAAAGAGTCACGCAACGAGCCCCCTCGCCAAACGCGCCAAGGGCAAAGCACGCCCCCCACAAGATTTTCCTGCGAACGCGGCCGATAGCTGGCAACGGAAACGGACAAGCTGAACAGGCAAAAACAAGTCTCACCGGGGACGGGCCTAAAATCGATGAAAGGACGGCACACCCAAATTTTACCCGAAAAATTAAAACACGGCCTGCAAACGCTACAGCACGCAACGAAAACATCACGAATTACGGCCCGCAAGAGACGAACGTGGGGGGGGACGACGACGACGACGACGACGACGACGACGACGACGACGACGACGACGAGACGACGACGAGAACCGAGAAACCAGATGGCGAAATATACAAATCACCCCTAGAAGGTATCATCCCTTGGCCAGTCACACTGTTGCGCGACAGACCCGCATTGAACGGCCTCAACGGAACAGCAAAACATTCACCACGGTTGGGTGAGGGGGGAAATATAAGGAACACGAGGAAGAGCGGGAAAACATAATGATATGAATGCGACCCGAATTCGTATCATAGAAAAGCGCGCGTCTGCCCAAAATCAGCCTCGAGAAAGAAACCACCGACGTCAACAGAATGCATGTCCTGCGAACGTGGCCGAAACTCGGAGCGGAAATTCGGGCGGAGCCGGATGTTACGCTGCAGCACGCAACGACCAGGATTTGGGCGGAAGGCCTAGCAGGGGGCGCGCGGCGGGGGGCGCGGCCCGGCCCTCTTCGACACGTGCGCAGAGCAGGTCAGCACTGGGACCCCGCCCCCCAAACGCAGATTTCCAGCGCGCTCGGAGAACGGCGACCACGTCATCCGGATTCGTCTGGGCGACACCCGAAGGGCCCATCACCGCCGCGACCCCCGCGGAGCGCCCAGGAGCGAGCCGATGAAGAAGGCGAGCCCCCCTCTCGCGAGCCCAGCGCGCCCGCGAGCCCGACGCGTCCTCCGCATCTCCCACGGCCCCCCGCCCTGCCCAAGGATTGGCGACGGCGAGGCGGCAGCGAACTCGCCCAGCGCGCGGTCGCGAGCAACGTCAACCGCGCGCCCCCGGAGGGCTCGGAGGCGAACGGACAAGTTGCCGGAGAAGCCGCAGGGGTTGTGGACCAGGTCGCGGTGAGGCGGGTAGCGGGCGAGGCGCTTCGAGACCTCGCCAGGGAATCCGCACTCGATGGGGCGGATGAGCTTCAAGGCGGCGCCCAGCCTGTCCTCGCGGGGCCCCGCCAACGGCGGGGCGGCGTGGTCCGCAGCGCCGCGGCGGGCGACCTGCGCCACTGCCTCCTCAGACGTCTAAAGTTCGGCGAGCTCCGAATTCAGGGCGGAGGCAACGAGGCGGCACTCGAAATCGAGCGCGACGCGCCACTTGAAGTCGGGACGATGCACTGCGTTGTCAGGGGCGCGCCGCGCGCCCATCTGGGGCGCCACTCGCGGGGGCGGCGCGAGAGACACGAGGGCGGGGCGGCGAGCGGACAGCCAGGGCTTCCACTCGAGGGCGACCGCGCGCAGCTGCCTGTCAAGCTTGCACAGGACGACATGTTTCGGATATGCCCTGTCCATTCTCGCCCCCGTGAACGCCGAAGCGCGAGCGGGGCCCAGCTGGTACGTCGCCACGAGGCCGAAGGGGGTGCCCAGCACACGTTTGAAATGCGTTCCCTCGTAGCCCTTGTCCCCGCGGAGCGCGCCGAGCTGGTCGCGGAGCGGTCGAAGGCATTGAAAGTCCCGATTGGGCCGATTGGGCAGGAGCGACCATTCGCACCATGCGAGAGCGGCGGCATCAACGAGGACCCCGAATCGAGGAAGCCTGCCCCCCCCCCTCCGCCCGCGAGAGGCCGAAGCACGCCTCCTCGGCAAGGTCTGCGCCCGTCGAGAGGGGCATCACAAGCAGGTAAAATGCCCCTTCTGGACCGCGGAGCTCCAACTCGGGAGCAATTCCTGGCAGGATGCTCACGAGGCCGATGCCTACGCGAACTGCGGAGACGCCAGCAGACCACCAAGCCGTCGCGCCTGCCGGGGGGCGCCACGCCTGATGGGACCCCTCCGCCCCATGGGCCTCTGTGACCACGACCATCCGCGCGAACTGAGACGTCCCCTCAATACTGGCCAAGGCGACGGGAGGGGCTCGCGGCCGGACGCGCGCCCCAGGACGGAGGCGCGACAGGCGAGCTGGGAAGCTCGCCGCGCACTGAAGGGGGGCGCCCTCACCCACAGGACTCACAAATCGGAGCCAAGCATCGCAGACTGGTAAAAGAGGCCCAAAAGAGGAACGCAGGCGGTCAGGATGAAGAGGATCAGCGCGAGTGACGTGAGAGCCGATGACGCACACATAATTCGAATAAAGAGTGAACCACTAGCCGAAGATGCAGACGAATCCGTGGAAAGCGCACCAGCAGGCCCAATCTCAAACGGCGCGACGATTGCCAAGCGGATGGAGAAGGCGAGCTCTATGAGCCAACACTCAGATCCGTCCAACAAGATGCAACGCCTTGCACCCCGGCGAGGCAGCTGGGAGACGCCCCAAAAATCGTCGGGGCGCAGGGGGGATAGATCCACGCCCCCGCCCCGTTTCCCCGCCTCCGCAGCGCAAGGAGGGAGTCGTTGAGGACCTCGACACGCACGTGCTCGCTGCCGACCCCGACCACCTGCCCATGGCGCCCAATGCATTGCTTGCGGGGCACCTGGCGGGCCGACCAGGGAAATGCCGAAGATCGCGAGGCCCATCTGGACGCGCCTCGGTTGGTTCCGACCCGGGAGGAGCACCTCCAGGGGCCGCGCACATGGCCTGGGAGCGAACCAAGGGGACCAACTGAAGCCCCAGAAACGGGCGCGACCACGAGTCCGCGACGCCCAGGACATCCCCCATGCCCTGGACGAGCGGGAGGGGCACCACCACCCAAGCGCGGGTCGGACGCTCGGCAAGGCCCGAGCGCCGCAGGAGCGCAGCCAAAGAGGCGAGCAGAGGCCCCCGCATCATCTGGGGCCCAGGCCGCCACGCGATGTCCAGCAGCAAGGCCCCAAGCCTCCTCGTCGCCCTTCTCCAGAAGCTCGGAGACACGGCGAGAGATGTCCACGGAGCCCACGCCGTCGCCGCCCGCAGCCAGGAGGCGCGACAACTGAGCGAGGAGGGAATCCTGGCAGCCGGGAGGCAGAGGAGCGGAGTAGAGAGCGGGCGGTCGAGCTCCTTCCACACGGGAAGCTCAACCACCTTCAGCTTCCTGCGCTCCGCCGGCACCCACCCCCAAGAGCTCCGTCTCACCAGTCTGAGCCGCGAGGCGGAACTCACTGGCGACCTGATAGATGAGGAGCGGGCGGCCTCGGGCAGAGGCACCGCAAGCGCCAGATCACACGGGGCGAGAGCTGCGCGCGAGAGCGCCGCGATCAACTGTTCCGAAGAGACGGGGCCCTCAAAAATGGCGAGGCCGAGGCACGAACACGGGTCCGCGTCACCCATCACGCAGGCGAGCTTCTGGCAGATCAGCTTCAGGGTGCCCAGGTCTTCGGGGATGGAAATGGGTAGGCCGCGGACAACGGGGTCACTGATCACCGTCGCCTGGACGAGCTCGACGTGGACCGCGGCCCCCTGGTCCGCCCATTCGCGGAAGAGCAGGTCGCGGAAGGGAATCGAGGACGGAGGAAGACCACGTGGAACTGGGGCAGCAGCCCGAGCTGCTTGAGAAGCGGGGTCAGCGGCGGCGGCAGGCAGCGCGTCGCCGACGCCATCCACGTCGATGGTCTCCCCGTCAGCATCGTCCTCGTGCTCGTCCTCGTCCATCTCCACCTCCTGGGCCAGGCCTGCGTCGTCGGCCGGCTGCGCCGCAGCGAGCACGCTCTGCCCCGCTGCCCCGCGCGCAGCGCAGAAGTGCGAAGCAGGGGCCGCCTCGCCAGCCGCCCCGTGATTACAGCGAATCTGGCAAGCCGGCATGGCGCCAGGGCTCTCGCTCTGCGGAGGTCAAAGAGCGCAGACGGGAGGCGATGCGCAGACGGGGGAAAGTCGGCAGCCCACCTTCGGCGGGGCTCCTGGTCGGGCGCCCTCGAAGCTCTACCCCTGAACCTTCGAGGCTGGAGCCTTCGAACTGAAGCCCTCTTCTCTCTCGCCCCATCCCGCCCCCCCTGTTTCCAGGAGGCGGCCCAGGGGGCGACGCGGACGGGGGCCCCATCGCAAGCTCAACGGCATAAGGGAAAGAGACAGAGATAGGGCATGAGAAGGAAAAGCAAGAAAGAGAAAAAGGGCAGAGAACTAAAAATATACATAAGACAATATACATAAAAAATGCATTCAGAAAGAGAGAGAGAGAGAGACAGAGAGAGAGAGGGAGAGAGGGAAAGAGAGATAGAGAGAGAGAGGGAGAGAGCGAGAGGAAGAAGCAAAAGAAGAAGAAGACCAAAAAAACCTCTATATATAATATAGAGAGAGAAAGAGAGTGAAAGAAAGAAAGAACGAAAGGCGAAACAAAAAAGGAGAATGAACAAGAGAGAGAGGGAAAAAAGAGCGAGAGTGAGATATAGAAAGAAAGAGAGAACGAGAGAGAGAGAGAGAAGGAAGGAAGGAAGGAAAATAAAAACAAAAACAAAGCAATACAACAAAGAACGCCACCCACACAACCACCCCCTGGGGGGGCCCAGGAAGCTGGGGGGGGCATCTGCCCGCAACTGCGACCGGCGCGACGACG